ATTCAACACATCAGGCAAAGATCTGAATAAAGTTAATGTTCGCATTTTGACACCAATATCAAACTGAAAACACCTCAATCAACTGTTGGATGGATTTGGCATAATTATTGATACACTTTGCAGGATTTAAAGAGTAAGGATTCAGTGCTCACATACCACATTTGAAATGAACACAACTTATCAAGTAGAGTTCTGACATGTGTGACTCTTAGTATCATTTTGGAAGTGAAATAACCTGTCAAATTTTAAAATGTGTTAACAACTGGATGGTTAAATGGCAGGGACATAAAGAAAGGACATGGGCTTGGTTTGAGATCTTGTTCTGAAGTAGAGTCACTGACTGCCAGCCTAGAAGTAATCACAACAAAAGTTTCCCCCCAGGGGTTCTGAACAAAAATTCTATAGTAGAATAAATAAACTACTACACAGTTAGATTATCTTAACTAGCATCTGCAATCTTCCTTACAATAGCTATTTATTGATGTCTTTCCAAATGCATTAGAAGTGGTAGATGATTTATTTTGTCTTTGAAAAGTACTTACAACCATTCACTCATTCAACAAATATTTAAGTTTCCACTATGTGCCAGGCATTCTTTCCTAAGTACATTATCAAAGTCAAATAGTACAAACTGCCTAACGTTCTTTTATTGGAGATGTCTTAACTTTAAATGAGTTAAGGCAATTTATAGAGACAGCGCTTACCAAAAAAATTTACTTTTCTCAGACTGTGCAATTCTTCACCATGTTATTTATGTCTGGCACCTGACACATAGTAGGTGCTTCAAATAGGATGCTCTGTTAGTTTCTCTATATTCCAACCCTAGCTGAGTTTTTGTGAGTGCAAAATGGTCAAGCAAAAAGGAATCCACTGACCACTGTCATGGTTTAGCTTCACTTGTCACATTGCCATCTATGACAGTGATTTTTTTTTTTAATTTCAGAACATGTTTTCCTTATTCTTTCTGTAATGTTCATTTTGAAAAGAAGTGGGGGAGGCAGTGCATGTAAGGTGGGGTGGATGAGAGATGTTGGGAGACAGCTTGGTATTTATGTATTTTTAAAATTAGAGTTTAAATGAGTTTATGCGTGTATTTGTGTGTGCTTGTATTATACATCTGAATAAACTGGAGTCTCCCAAAAGTAGAGTTAGAAATGTTGACTCTTCAAGGGAAAAATAGCAGAATTAGTAGCAATGGAACCTAGACTGGATACAATTTCTCTTTTGAGACCAGTCAGTCAACACCCATGTTGCTGAACATCTATGGAACCGAAAAAAGACTCTTGATATCATTGGAAGAGATGAGGAAGTTTGAGATACAAGTATGATTGAAATTTTCTTCTGAAAGAATTCAGAACCTGAGGTCTGAAATAATAATACCATAGGACGTTTGTATCATATTCCTTAACAATTTTTCTGCTTGTTAGGATAATTCAAGGGCATTCTGACCATCAGTTTACTCTGTAAGCTGGTGTTTGAATCCATCATGGAAAACTGATTTCTTTGATTTGTAAATCCTTAAAAATAGATAACAATCATTATATGCCATTGATCTAGAGGAAAATAAGGCCTGAGATACTTATCTAAGGACCAAAAATAATTCTATGCCAAAATTTATTCTACTAAAGTTCTATGTATCTCTATCTATCTATCTATCTATCTATCTATCTATCTATCTATCTATCATCTATCTATCTATCTATCTATCTATCTATCTATCTATCTATCTAGTATATCTGCCTGGCTACCTACCTATCTATCTACTTATAATAAAAATATGCCTTGTATGGACAATTATACAATAAAATGCACTCTTCATCAAACATAATTATAGATTGTAATCACTCAATATATGGTATGTATACATCCATACACTGACAAATGCAAAGTGGCAATATTACTACTGACATTTGGAAATGCTAATATATTTCTACCACTTCAAATATTCTGTATACATAGATATAAAGGGGCAGGTCTTTACAACCTCTTGGAGGAAAGTAAGCATTTTTATTCAAAACAAATGAAAAGGCAAAGTCTTCTGGCAATCGGCATACAAATGAATATCTACTCTAAAATTCCTTTCTTTGTATTTCACCATCCTAAAAAGAGAAGAGTCTTATTGCAAATGATATTTTTTCAAGTTAGTTGAGCCTGTCTATAGGTGTAGAACATTTCTATGATACCCAAACCAATTTATAATTCTTTTTATCTTTACCAAATGTCTTCCAGGAGATACACTATGTAAAGTGGGACCAGTCAGTATATCAGCTTTGGACTACTTTCCCAGTTTTTAGCCTGTAATAGAATTCTTTTATGTTTTACTTCCAAACATGTATGTATTTCTACTCTGAGAAAGAATTTAATGAAAATTTGAGGAGATATATTTTAAGAAAATACTTTTAAATTATGCTTCATCTTGCTACTGTAGTATCTAAAACCCAAGCACTATTGAAACCAATTCTTTGATGATCAGTTCGGGAAGGTTTTGAACTTTATCTCCAAAATGCAAACATATTTCTGTTCTTAAATGGAGTACTGCCAGTGTGCCAAGTACTCTTCAATACTCATAATTTTTTAAAGTCTTAATTCAATTATTTAAACTTGAGCTTTTGGATGTCTGGGGGTCAAAATATTTCACCTGATTTAGTGAGTTACCATATAGTTAACCTGGTATGGCCTAAATTCCTCAGAGTTTCTAAAGTTAAGTATGTTGTATATGATTTTTGTAATAGTGCAGCCTGGTTAACAAACACTATTTCTGCCTTGTTTAGGAGAGGCCAAAGCTTTTCATTCTAACTGTGGAAAGTTTCCTCCTCTTTTGCAGGTGGTGGTGTAAACAGAAAAGATCATGGTGTGTCCTGGGCCATGTCCTTCCTTAGTACCTCTCTCCCTTTCTCTATGACAAAGGAGTGACAAGAGCAGAGGAGACTTGAAGCATGTTAGTGCAAGAGAATATGGACCAGGATGGGGATGATGTGAGTAGGGGTGATAAAACAAAAATAAGAAAGTGAAATGAGGGAATGCTGGAATATACAATAAAAAAAATGGCACAAGCAAAAAGAGGCCCTAAGCCTTTGTACATACAGCTTGTTTGTTTTGCTTTTGAAAAGGTATTAGGAACAAAGTACAGTGGATCAATTAGATGTATCCCAGATCTTACAAAGGAAAAAAAAAAGGCATTGGCATAACTCTCCTTAGTAGCCACCCCCTGCCCTCTTTATTTTGGAACAATGCCTCAGGAAGGGATTATGACACAATGACCTTGCTTTCTGTAAATGCATCATCTTTTTTATATAAATATTAACTACATTTGGCTTTTTGGGTGTCACACAATTAGCAAATTAGTCATTGACTAAAGGTATTCATCTAGGTTTTATAACACTTTCCCCACCTTAATTTTACAATATTACATGCAAGGGGAAAAATTGCCTTCTTTTTTATTGCATTCATTGAAATCCCTTCTCTTAATGGTAGGCTCTAAAGTTATAGTTAGTTCTGTCATCAGAATATCAGCACATTGAATTGAATTTTGAAAATTACAAAGACTGCACAGGCACATAGTGGAATCGATCATTCCCTCCATATGCTAAATGCACCCTCATTTGAATCTTATGCATTCCCCTTAATATACCCTCCCTTTCAATTCAATTCATTGCATTTATTACAAGTATGAGATGGAAATTAGAAAGTTCCTCCAAGGCTTCAGATCTTTTGTGTGCAAGATTTATGAGGAAGAGAAATTTTTGCTGTTCTTTTATTTATAAAATTTAGTGAATTTAGCTAATATCTGAAGACATAAAACAAGCTGTTCATTTGTACTTACATGTGCATGTATGAAACACAATATCCATGTCATTAATCTTCTACTTAATACCACGCTTAAGCCAAAACCTAATTATATGAGTTAGAATCAAAGCATAATATTATGAAGACAAGTGCACATATATTCCTTAATGTTCTAGTGAGAGCTTTAAAGGTTTATATAACTTAAAATCACCATTTTGAATATTATTGGTAAAATTATGAAAACTAGTTTTAGAATCAAAACACAATGGCACAATATTCATTTTAATTCCCATGTTTAAGGTTAGTTAATTTTAACGAGATTTACAATTTGCTCTCTGTATCCATGGATTCAGCATCCAAGGATTCAATCAAACTCAGAAGGAAAATATTTGGGGAAAAACTCAGTAAGAAATAACAATACAACAAGCAAATAATACAAAGAATACAGTATAACCATAATTGCATAGCATTTGCATTGTAGTAGGTATTATAAATAATCTAGACATGATTGAAAGTGTACCAGAGGATATCCACATGCAGAGGTTATATGCAAACACTGTGCCATTTTACATAAGAAACTGAGCATCCACAGATTTGGGTAAAGGCAGAAGTTCTGGAACCAGTCCCTGGTGGATACTGAGGGACAACTGTACTCCCTAAATACAGCATTTCAAATACAATGTTCAGAGGTACCTAAACACTGTGCTGCTGCATCTCTCTGTATCATCCTTATTAAAAATTTGCCAAGGCACTGTCACCTTGCGGATTTTGTCCAGGAAATCAGGTTACATGAAGCTGAAGCTGAGACCATTTTTATTTTAATCCATTTCTTCTAGACTTTCATGACTTTCACATTGGAAAAAAGAAATGTAACTACTCTCTAGCAAATCCAAGAGCAGTTAGCCATTCTTTGCCAGAGGTCGTCGCCATCTATTACCAATGCCTAGGGGATACTCAAGAATGGCAGTGTATGTGCCATTCCTGGGCAATAGGAGGGGCAATTTGAAAACAATCTATATTTTGTCCATCATACCCATTAAGAGGGCTATGTAATGGAATAACATTTTTTTTTTCATTTGAGTATTTAGCTTTTCGAGTCACCATGTATTGGTATTGAGATCTTGAATAAAGTCCTCCTCTTATAGAGGAGCTGGCACTGTGTTTAATAGTCATATAAATTCATGCATTTCCATCTGCTTCTCCAGATAAGAGTGTTTCTTTACTCATCAAGTCATTAATCTTCTACTTAATATCACACTTAAGCCAAAACCTAATTATATGAGTTCAGAACCACAGCATAATATTATGAAGACAATTGCATATATATTGCTTAATGCTCTAGTGAGAGCTTTAAAGGTTTATATAACTTGAAATCACCATTTTGAATATTATTGTAAAATTATGAAAAACAGTTTTAGGATCAAGACACAATGGCATGTTAAATTCTTAGGTAAATGTGACCTCGCAACTAAATTTAATGTTATCCATTTCAATAGCTGTGGGTTATTACACAAATGAATTAAATTATTCTTCTTTAGACAGAGTTAATCCATTGTAAGGATTGAGTAACATAAGTCTGGCAATTTACAGAGGATAGATATGTTAACGATATATAGTAAGAAATATTTTATTTAGCATATATTTATACTAGTTTAGTTTCAGAACTTAAAGATCATAATTTACTTTTCTCTGCCAGTGCATGCACACACACACACACACACACACACACACACGCACTCACTCGTGTACACACACACACACACACACACCCTGCGGTTAGTTTATTCCTTGCTACTTTAACAATCAGTTACTGCTTTGGTGAAAGCCTAAAGCTTAATCCATTAAGAGCCATTCAGAACAAAACAAACAAACAAAGCTTTAACCACTTCAGGGACAACAGTGCACAGAACCAACAAGGAGCCTTCTTAGAAAATCCTAGCAATTTTAGGATCAATAGCCTCACACTAGATGCTCTTAAGTGATGAAAGCTAGAAAATTTGTGCTGCCAGGTTTTAGAGAAAACACAAAACACAAAAAAAGGTTGGGAGAAGATAATTTAGTAAGTTTAGTTTGGAAATACCTATGCAGTTTAGAGGGTGAACTTAAGTCCTATCAGTAGTCACAACAAAAACAAACTAATGAAAACATCACATTGGGCTGAAAACTTTACCTATGTATCCTGCAAATGGAACTGTTAAAATATCCTTTATAATCTCTCCAAGTTCACTACTTAGAGCTTTCTTATTATTTCTTCTGATTAGTGTAAGTGAAATCTTTGGGGTGTATGTATACATATATATGTATATATGTATAAAAATTACAAATATTTCTTTGAAAACAAATCTAAAGCATTTAGGAGAACTTTACGGTCCACTTAATTCAGGGCTACAGTTTGAACAATAAAACCAACAAATACATTTATATATGAGAGGAGCAAAAACAAACATTTTTTTCCACAAGATTAAAAGCCTGTTCATTTCCTTTAAGAATTATTCCATTGTATATTATCTTTTGTGAAAAAATCCATTAGCTTCTTTTATACATCCTCGAGTCTTAAATAATACACCACTCCTGCAGAATGTGTTTTATGGAGAAAATCTACTGTCATGCCATAGAATTTAAAAAGGCCTCCTACATCTTTTGTATTCATTACGTTATCCTTTTCAGTTTCACAAAACAATTTTGAAATACTGTATCTCCTGTAGTTATAGTTTTTTAAATGTCTTTACATTAGTACTTAATTGTAAACTCAGTAATGAAATAGGAGTGTTATTTATTATTTATCTCAAAATGTCAGCTGGCTAGACTTTACCCACAAATTATCTGAAGGCATTAAATTATATACCTTCATAGGTAGTCAACAGACACTGTTGGGATTGTCTGCAGTATGTTTGCAAGCTAATTTGTTTACTGAATGTGGTCTACTCGTTTACATTTCTGCTTTTTTTTATTCTAGCAGATCCTCTCTGAACAAACATACTTAATATAAGGAACTTATAAAATAAATCTTGTTAGTTTAAAAAATACGTGTCAGATTAAAAGCAGAATAATCTCTTTGCTGAAATGTTATCGAATAATATTGACCATCAATATTTTACAGACTGAAGAAATAAATTACCCTGGAATATCATGAAAATGCATGATTTTCCCGTGTGTCAGGAATGCTCTGCAGTTTTGTCTGGATTCATTAAGGCGCTCACTGCATAAGTGCGTTGCCAACCGGAATGTGGGTGGCTATAATGGCAGCCTGTAGGTTTGTATGGAAAACAAGTATGGCACTGTGAAAAAATCCTTGTCTCACCCTACAGATACCTGTACGGAGAACTTGGGAGGCATTTTCATAAGCTCATTGTCAAGTGAATGTTAAAGTCCCCATTCACTGAGAAGCAAAGGTAAGTCTGATAAATGCGTTGAAGAAAGAAAAGGGGGTGGGGAGTGGGGTGGAATCACCTAGCATTGAAACAGCCTCACCAAGTGACAGACACGTAGACAACTCCGATGCTGCCAGAATAACACTCTGCACAGCCCACCAGCAAGCAATTTGTCACTGCGACAAGAATATCCTCCGCAATTTGGCATCAGGGTCCTTGGACAGCCAACTGCGCCTGTACAGCACGAGACGTGCTATTCGGCAACGGGAAGATGGGAACCAAGATTCTCGTTATTATGTCCAAATGTGTTATTTTATGAAAAACATATCTTTTGTCATAATCAACATAGAGATAGAACAGTAGTAATTGATAATAACTGGGGACAAATGAGATAAAAAGTTGAGAAAAATATGCCCTTGTCTGTTTTTTAAGTACCCTGACTGTTGAGAGAATTTCAGGATGTTTGCTTGATGTGTCTGGTATTTTATGGCACGCTCCCACAGGGTTTCACAGGAATAATTAATGCATAGGTGCAGAACGAATTGGGAAGATTTTTGGTAGTATTAAACCATTTGCTTTAGACAGACGGTACTCTTTGCTTTGTTTTAGACTTTGTGTGATTGTATATGGTGTTTGATTAATAATATGTTGCTTGGTACAAATCCTTTCTTATTTGTCCGATTTGAAGTAAGACAAAGAATGTAAGGTAAGTTGAGTTAAAAATTTGCAAAGGAAAGACCTTTTACTCTTTACATTGCTATCCTGGTAATCTATTATAAAAGTGCAGTAAAGGAGAGAAGCCAGGAGCATAGGATAAAGGTATCTGATAAATAAGCAAGTAGTGTTCCCCTTGCCAATTACTTGGCATCTTACTTTGTAATTAATGCCACAGTAATGAAAAAAGTGGTAGGCACGAAGATTGGGCCTTTTGTGCATTCTATACAGAACCAAACACTCATAAAAATCTAGCTCAAAGCTACCCTAGTTTGGCTTTCTCCACAATCAAAACTTGCTGGAGAATTAGAACAATCTCATAAGGGTGTGTGTGTGTGTGTGTGTGTGTGTGTGTGTTACAATGTATTATATAAGAGTGACATCAGGCAATTGTGGTATTGCTGTCTCCATTAAACAGACAAGGGTGTCCTTCATTCCCCAGACATGATGGAATCTTGTACCCATTCTGCCAGGAGTTAACATCATGGTATCTATTATGTTGTTCACCAGTCATCCTATGAAGCATTTAGCTAACTGCTATTTAAGTCGCTATATTAACTGCCGAGCCATGCCTGGTGTGTTTATAAGATACTTACTTATTTGCACTCCATGCAAACTTTTAGGAAATCCTAAAATTACTTAAGAATTAAATAATAGTGAGAGTAGTAATATTAATAGGGATTTTTTAAGAAGTAAGTACAAATATAATTCAGGCAATTTTGATATTATTTGAAATCCAACACGTTTCAAAAATTATCAAGCTAATATTGTAACAATATTCCATAAAAGTGTTTTCCCTACCTACCCACATAAACTGGACAATGATGAACGGCTGGGGGTCGGCAGGTTAGATAATGAGGTGTTTAATTGTGGCACTGTGGAAATGGTGCTAGGTGGAGTGTGTTGACTAACTATGCACATGGATAGTTAAGTGAAAAGGCCTAAGTTTTATATTCTTTGAGGCATAAGCTACAAAGAAAGGGGAGAACAGAGAGGTGAGTGAAGAGAAAGTGTTTAAGGCTAGAGAGTATGAAATACAGTGGAGACCATAAAGAAAACTAACCCCTACTTTTCTAAGCTTCGCATGAGGTGTTTTCCTTGCAACTCCCATTAAAGTCAATGGGAATCATGCAGCTAAAACCCTGTGTAACTCTTTGACAATTTACTTCCTAGTGTCAGGAAAAGAGTACTACCTACTAAAGGCAATTTACTCATTTTAGTTTGTGCCTCCCATACAAAGATGAATTTGATAGCACATAGCAGGAGGAAAAGAGAGACTACATTTAAGAATTTTGTTATTGCAAAAGAAGTCATCATTGAAAAATGTCACCTAAACTCTCACCTTGTTTAGCAACAACAATAAACAGAGAAAAGCAATCCAGTGAAAGAATATGAAAAGAAGTATGGACTTGATTACAGTAAAAATGATGATTGCTAGTATTAGGTGTTTTTTTTTTTATTTTAAGTTCTCTAGCTCTGAACACAATTGCAGGATAATAAGAATACAGGACGATTCTTAAGACACCAAATTGAAGTTTCTGATTACTTGCTTTTTCCATGCACCTCAAGTTGTATATATGTAAATACAGCTATGGTATCTTTACAAAATTCTTAATAATACATATACAGTGGAGGGTGGGATTACCATAGGTTCCTAGTTATAGGTAGCAAAATAAATAAATGGCAGATGTCTATTCTGCTGTAAGCAATAACTAAATAAATGCAACATACCCTCTATATAGTATTATTTTTGAAAGCTATAGAATGTGCTTGTTAAAAAGTGCATGCTATTTACAGACTACTTCATGAACTTTGAAGTCGGAATGTTAACACTGGCTTTCAGTTTTTATTTTCATTATGTCTCTATATTTCTTTACTCTCAAAAGTCTTTATTTCAGTGCTCTACCATTATACTGATATAATTCTAATTTTACTATTATAAATGGTATGTGGGCTGAAGATAGCCTTCTGTATTTTCTGACTCCCTTCTCTGTGATTTGTTTTGTGACTTGTCCTTTGGAGGGTGAAGAAGAGAGAACCTACATGACTTTTTAGTGCATGGATGGAGCAGAGACACGTCTATGAACCACTGCCTATGCAAACTGATTACTCGTCAGTATAATTTCTCAGTTTTTAGGAGTAAATGAGTGCTTCCCACTATGGATTTAGCTTGTGCTTCAATTTAGGTAAGTATATTGCTGCAGCAGCCTTGAAACCAGTGCTCTCTGATTGTACCAATTAGTAAATCCTGAACTTTACCACCAAAAAAAGATATAGCTCCACATTTACAAATACCTGGCTTTTGAGAATTAGAGTAATGATGTCACCAAAACTACCATTGATTTTTCAGATATACATCTCAATAATTTTGCAAGACTAAAAGCCTTTTCTAAAGCACATGGGTACTTTTCATGGTACAAATAATACATAGGAATTAATACAGTGATTTGATATGTGAGAACATTTAAGGGAGGAGATTATTTCTTTGAACAGAATTTAGATGTGTTTCTGGGCTGAATTCTTGATTATAAATTTCATGTTGGAGGGTTTTGATGGTGTGAGAACTTCTGACATCTAATTTTTTGGAGGAGGGGATTGAGAATATACAAAATAGTTAAAAAGCATGTGTTGTTGTTAAAACAGATTATATATCATAAAAATCATAGATGAAAATAAATTTAATTATCTATATTTTAGTTTAAAAACTCACAGCTGGTTTATGCTCCTCCCTATACTCCAAGCCATTCATTATTGGTGACTATTGTATATCCTTAACCAAATATACTTTAAAAGATTTCTGTTCACAAATTAAGCCTGAACTGAATTTAGCACATAGAGCTTTTTAGTCAATTATTAAGCTTCTTCTATTTTTCCTTCTAATTGAACATAGGTATGGCTAACAGTATTTTTGTATCAGCAAAATAAATATCAGTATTTAAATCTCCCCAAAAAAGCCTGATATTACAGGGATGCCATTCACAATATTACAGATACTTGTTTTCCTCTTAAATTCCAGTGTCATTGTTTCATTTTAGGTAAGAACCTGAGTACTCATTAACACATTTGTGGAATCAAATACTTACAAGTTCATATAGTCTAGATTTCTTATTTTAGAAATTATATTTTCCATGATCTGAAATAATTAGATATTTTAACCAGTTATGTTCTAAAATTAATCTCTGTTTGTTTCAGATTTGTTCTTCTGGGGAATTTGCTATAAATCAATATTTGCTGTCACTGAAGTTTAGGGCATCTTTCAATACTCATTTTTAAAATAGCTCCTTCAACATCGTTAAGAAACTATTATGACTTTGATATTACATCTATGCAATCATTTTGCAGTATGTGTAGTTGGAGAAAGACATACAGAAATATAGTTTTCCTTTCAATATCTAAAAATCATGTTTCTAATTTCTAGCACAGGGTTTTTAGGCGCACACGCACGCACACACGCGTGCGCCCACGGCCCCCCCCCCCCACACACTGCATTACCTTTGGATCAATGAGAAACACTTTGAATTTATTTAACCTGAAATACTTTTCCAGTCCCAGGGATACTGTTTATTGAACTAATTTTTTCACTTGTACAAAAGAATTATATAAACATTACCACTAAGAAGGTCTAGGAAGCCAAAAGAATAAGTGTATAATCAAATTAATGACTGAATATATGCATAAGGATGAGTTTGTATTCATTATTTTCTTTACTGTGACCAATTTTTCTTTTTCTTGTTTTCCTATTTATCTACATTTCTTCAAACATGACACTTTACTAGCCTTCTGCAACTAAAATATGTTTGGAAAGCTACAATGTGGAAGGAGGTAATTGTTGGGTAAGACATGGCACTGCTAATGATGTTGATTCTCTGGCTCCAGAGACCTTTGGGATTATTTATATTGTAAATTTCTGATGCTCTACCTCCCAGATTTGAAGCCTTATCTCTTCATTCTATATACAAGAAAAGGAAGCCACCCTACAATAGGCTGAGTAGTCTGGAGCAAAAGGTCATCCAACATTATACATGCTTGCCTGAGACCAAAGCATCGAAAGGAAATCCTCCCCGGCAGTGTTAAGTTGTCTGTTCCCTTCTTGGCATGTGTGCACAACTTCTTTAACACTAAGGAGATTTAGACATGGGTACTGAGGGAGGAAGGGGCTTTATAAAGTGAAATGGGGCCTTGAAATTTCTCAAAGATACCTTGAAACAGACAAGGAGCAAGTCTATTCTAAATAGTAAGATGGAGCAGGATAGTAATGATGGAGAAAGACAATTTCTTTTTACAGATATAAAACATTGGGTGAAATACAACATAATTTTCATAGTTATTTAAGTGTGGGAGGCACATAATTGGTAAGTTATTTCACAATCTTTCAAGTGGCAGTGTTGGGCAATGGGAAAACAGAGGAAATTTCTCTGTTTTTTTAATACCATGTTATACAAATTTGAGCAAGTCATTTAATTAGGGCTTTGTATTGCTTAATTAGCAAAAATTCATAGCATCCACTTGATTATATTTCAAGCCTTTTGAAATACAAATATTGGATGATTCTGAGTCACAGTTATAGTTGTCAAAAGTGCCTACATGGGTACAAGACAAACGATATTCTAACACTGTTAACATAACAAGTGATGCAAGATTATTGCTGATACCTGATTTTTTTATTGTTATTTGGGCTCTTATTCTCCAAGAGGATATATTATATTTACTAGGATGGTTTCATTCATTTACTCATTTGTTTACTCAAAAATAATTACTGAATATTCAGTAATTAATAGTAAACTAAAGGGCATGTCTATGCTGTCTGTCAGTAATTCAGAAACCACTAAGATGAAATTTCAAACCTTGAAAATACTGATCATTTGGTGAATGAAGATATACAACAAAAGCAACAACACAACACAGCAGGGGCTATCATAAAAATCGTACCAACATTTTTATGGGAAGTGGAGGAGTTGCTCCTAACTTGCCTCAGTGAGGCTAGAAGACTCCATACAGGAGATGATTGCTGAACTAGATTGACAATGAAGATGGGGCCACTTCAAACTCTTGTCAATAGACTGAAGATTGCCACAGGAAGGCTTAAAGTTAATTGATGTTTTAAAGAAGATCTTTAGCTTAAACACTTTTCATGGCTACAAAAATATACATTATTGTAAAGTTCTGCTTCTACCATTTTCTTTTGGTATTGGCTTGCTTTCTTGTCATCTTTTACATTATATGGGGAGGGAAGGGAAAAAAATACTAAATGTGGAGTTGTGGTTAATATCATGACTGCTTTCCACTCAATTAATACCACCATTTAAAAAATAATATGTCTAATATATCTCCATGTATATGTGTATGAAAAAGTAAAGTAAATATATGTAAATTATTATATTTTTAAGACATAACAGAAAAGACAATGGAATATTAATAAGCCCAAGCAGAGAAAGCTATACATCAAATTATTTTAAATAGTTGAGTAATTCTAAGGCTTTCCAAAAATAGCTAAATACTCAAACATTTTTTTTCCTATTATTCAATTTGTTAGAAGGATTCTTTTTCTAGCAGGTGTGAACAAGAAGCAGGTAGCAGGAGAGCTTGGTGCACAGAAAATATTTGAAACAAAATCAGAATTTAATGATCTAGGTCAGTGATTCTCAAACTATAATGTGTTTAAGAACTACCTGAAGAACTTGTTAAAGTAATAAGCCTGGGGCAGGACCAATTAATTTTCAATTTTTACAGATTCATAGATGATACTGATGCTGTTGGTTAAGAAACACACTTTAAGAATCACTTATCTAGATGAGTGCTTCTGATATTTAGTCTATACAAATCCCCTCAATCTTGTCATATTGAAAATACTTCAGTAGGCCTCAGGTGGGTGGGAGTATTTACATGTCAAACCAGCTCAAAGGTGATGCTTATTCTGTTTTCCACAGACCCACTGTGGGAAGCAATGATTTAGATGATCCTCTATTATAAGCCCAAGTTGTATGACATGGTTTGGTGATTTCAGAAAATAACAGGTTCAAATAAAGCTTTCTAGTTTATTTCCTGGCCAAATAAGATTGTATCCTTACTAACAAGATCTAATAAAGGATCAAAGATTCACTGTTTCTTGTATACAGTATGAATAAATATTATCATTCCATTGAGAGAAGCATTTACTGAGCGCCTGTTTCCTGTATGAAATGACTGTCCTAGTTACTAATTAAGTGAAAAGTGGGTTTCTTCTTTTACTTAGCTTCCATAACTACTCTGAAACCTTAGAAATGAAACAGTACCCAGATTGGTCATTTATTAGATTTGTTATGTTTCCCGGATTCTAATACATTGTATATAAGTAAAGATGGCAAAAAGGACTGTTCTAATATCTCAACTCAAAAAAAGAAGAATTTTTAAATACTACATCAGGCAAGGAGCATTATCTAGCCCTCCTATTTAAAATTTTTATTTAGTTAGACAAAGTCTATTGATACAAAGCAAAAGTTGAACTAAATCAGTCATATGAGCTGCAAAATATACTTAATTTTGATGAGATAACAGTTCCTGGTGGATTATATGTGTGTGGGTGTGAGAGAGCCTTACTAATAAGTGTTGACTGTCTTCAACCCACATTTTCTCAGTAATTGATAATTCTCCATTTCTTCTCTGCTATGTAAACCTTTTAAAAAATGGAATGGTGAAATTATGGTAATGATAATACATTAAGAAATTTGAGATAGAAATATCTAACAGAACATTCAAATAAAAAATGCAAGGAATAGAATCTGTAGTATACATTTTGGCCAACTTTGAACAGTTTGAAGAATGCTGGGGATGCATACTTTTTTTCTCTTATGCCCCTCCCATTCACAAATTTTCAAGTGATATGATACTGTTAAATTCTGTAATTCAGTGACTCAAAATGATGTTTGCATGGTTAGCAGTAAATATCTCTATTCTGCTTATTTATGTATTTATTTACTTGACTGGACTGGAACAAATATGGGTAACTGATTTGAGTATTTGTTAATGCAAATACTAAAGCCATTAGCCCTATAATTGTAAAAATATTTTAAAGTGTTATAATAATTTTAAGATTTCTTTTTGCCTGGTGTATGTGGCTTTTATATGATCATTTATGAGGATAAATGATTATCTTTATAACAATACTTTATAATTAAGTACTTTGTCATTTCTACTCCTTCTTCTCATTTCCTAAGCATATTAATTTGTGGTCCACTCTTCATGTTGAACTATTACAAGAAAAAGGTTTTACTTGCAGGATGTTTGACTTTTTTTTAAAAAAAACCATACTTGTGTCTTTAGGTAGTATCTATCTTTAAAAAAGATGCAAAGAATGCAATCTCGTAATGTAGATATTTGGGCTAGAGGACTAGTAATTCTTAAAGCCTTTTGAAAATATGATTCTTTATCAACGCTGTGGTCCTTCATTATAGAAAATGTTTATAAAGTACACACAAAGAAATTTTGCATACAAAGTAGTGCCTGTTCACGATCTTCTTGAAGGAAGATTCAGTAACTCTGATCTTGATAATTGAGGTAACGTTAAACAAAATGCCATCTTTTCCCCTCTTTCTTATATAGACATTGAAACCAGATGGATCAATAGACTGTTTTTCTAAATACATCATTTTGTTTTTATTGTGTAAACCTTTCCTTACAAATAAGTCCTTAGACTGATTTGTAACATGGAAGTAAGTGGACATCTGGCTTCTCTGAAAAATATGATTCACTCATTTGCATTTTTAAATTTCATTCATTCCATTTTTAAAATTTTCACTTGTCCTCTTTGCTCTTTCTAAAAGCAACTCTTCTCAACTCTTTTCAATTTCAAATACCTAAAGAATTTATGCTTCTTATAATTTGCAGCATTATTCTTTTAAAATTTTTAAATGAAAATAAATATTCAAGATCCACAACATGAGGAAAACCTTGATATGTAGGTGAGTAAGAAGTTATTTTAAGTACAAAAAGAATTTGGGTGACAGAAATCAATTTATGTCTAGTTATTTTTTATATATTGGTCTTAGATGACTTTGAAATATCTTTCAGAGGTCATTTTTAAAATTTCAAGGGCAAGATACTAGTAAATAATTAATTCCTTCTTCAGGTTGGTTATAGATTCCTTCAAAAAGTATTTTGAGTATATTAGGGTATTTCTATTAACAATGACATGCTTGAAATAAATTCTGGGATGAAAGACTATAGTGCTGTTTGATTGTTCATGTATATTATTTATAACAATGGATTTAATGAGTAAAAGTTGAAGGTCTAAGACCTTAAATTCTGGAAGATCTATTTATTCATTTCAAGATCCAATCTTTCTTTATAGAGGCAAAACAGAATTTGTAATACTATTCACAGCATTGAACTCTCATAATAACCAAAACAGACTGACTTAGAAATTCCATTCAAACTTTAGATTAGGCTTCTCACAAAGCATTTTATTTATCATCTAAAATAATAGATGCATATGAGATCCTAATTAAATACATTTAATATCTTTGAATATTTTCCTCAATATTTCCTCCAGTTGAGTGAAATAGTTGGTAGAGGCAAAACTAGATAATGAAACCAAGGACAACCATGATAGGCAAAGATGAGAGAAGGAGAGAAGTTAGTTCACCATGATCTTCCGCTGTGAAATTTGAACTCAATTCTGAAAGCATAGCAGAAGATTATGCTTTTCTTAGAATATCAGTAACATGCGTCTTAAGGACATTTTCTTATGCAGCATGGATGGTAGGGAGGTATAGAAGTGAAACAACCAAGAAGACCACGTGGTCAAAGTTCTCAAGCTTTGAGCTTGCACGATCTCATTTGTAATTCCTGTGTCACAACTGATATTCTCGTTAATATCATACAATTTAGAAACACTGGGATGAACATATTGGACTTAAAATTAAGAAAAGTAAGTTTGATTATACTTTCCAGCCTAGATTTCATGACAGCGATTACAGTGAACTGAATTTCACTTCCTTAATGGAAGTGTAATTTAATTTAGATGTAATAGAGCATCATGCTGCTCTACTTTTCCCGTTTTGGTGCCTAAAATTGGGAAGAAATAGATGATTGTACTAATGATATGGTTTATAGATATGTTAGAAAATGAGAATTTCCCTTCTTGGAGTCAAAGAATTAATAGCCTTTTAAAGAAAACCTGTAGAATTTTGTAAGGTAGAATCATAGATGCAGATCACTCCTGAAACTGACTACCCTTTAGAGAAGTCAATTCTCATTTTGATGTAGCATAATCAGAGAGACTACATCAGTCTCTTGAGACAAGGCAAATTGGTCCCATTAATCATTTCAGAAATGCCTCAGCTTTTCTATTTTGGGGAGGATGAGGTTACTATCATCAGGATACTCCTAGATTTTTGAATAGTTGTTACTAGTTTTTCTTGCATTGCATGGCAATTCAGTATGAATGTAACAATCGTCAGTTCCTTGAAGAACAAGAAGTAGTTCCTTTCTCTTTCTTACTGATTCAGCTATAAGAATTCTGCATCAGGAAGCAGGACATATCCTCTCTCTTCAGGAAAAAAAAAGTTACTCTCCTAGTAAGAGAAAGTAAAGCTACGGATATAAGTATGTAAAGTGTTGAATGCTGATTAGCATGTCATTCGGTCCACTTGATGTGATTAGGAGAAATGAAGGAGCCTTGAAAAACAGCTCTGGAGAGAAGTGTGGACAGCTGTCCAAAGCATTTTGTCTTTCAAACAAACATTTATAGAATTCTTCACTGAAGAAGATGCTAGAAACTAGTCTCTGAGCATGACTAGATGAGTCTGTGATTAGTAGATTAACTCAAAGTAGAAATTAGGTTTGAGTTGGTAAGGCCATAAAACAAGTGCAGAGTCAATTAATCATCCTCTTTTTAGTAAAATTCCAAATGGGTTTTCGTGGTGGTTTTGGTTCATTCTGTCTTATCTTGTGAGATGGATAATATCTTCCTGTATTCACTTCATAGGCACGTTTCCTGTACCTTCCTATGTTTAGATACACACATACTACTGTGTTACAGTTGCCTATAGTATTTAGTATAGTAACATGCTGTACATGTTTGTAGTTTAGGAGCAACACTCTATGGCATATAGTCCAGTTGAGTAGCAGGGTATACCATCTAGATTTCTGTAAGTACACATTACAGTGTTCCCATAACAATGAAATTGCCTAATGATGCAGTTCTCTGATCCGGTGTCTGTCACTAAAAACACATGACTGTTCTCAATATAATAACTTAGAGATTTAAGGGGAGAAAAGTACAATCATATAAAAAATAGACATACAAGCGTTCTATTGTGGTTTATAGTGCCTTTTGTTTGAAATTATTGTAATGGTATATGTGAACCCTTGTCCTTAACCTCTCTTTACTATAAGTAAAATTGAAGACTAAAGCCTTCATGAAGCCAATATAGAACTCAAAATTATGGGACAATCTTTACTGGTATAACAAGTTAGTGAAGAGGAGAAAATGAAGCTAAAAGTTTTCTCTTTTTTTTAAACATTTTTTATTGCATTTTAAGTTTTGGGGTACATGTGCAGAACATGTAAGATAGTTGCATAGGTACATACATGGCAGTGTGTTTTGCTGCCTTCCTCCCCTTCACTCACATTTGGCATTTCTCCCCAGGCTATCCCTCCCCAGCTCCCCCACCGCTTCTGAACTATATTTTCATCAGCCCCTCAGTTTGTTTTGTGTTAAGTAGTTTTTTGTTGAAATAACACATTTAAAATGCACAAATAAAAATGTACATATTATTAAAAACTTTTAAAAGGTGAACATATCTGTGTAATAGTAAGTTCAAGGAATAGAACATTATTAGCATATAAGAACTTCCCCTTTGTCATATTTTGTCATTATCACTGTCTTGATTCTTTTATCTTCCAATTAGTTTTATGTTGCTGACGTTTATATAAGTGGTAACATATCATATGCACTTTGTTGTCCCTATCTTGTGTTGTGTAATCGCAGTTCATTCATTTCCATTGCTGCAGAATATTTCATCACATGAATATACTAAAATTCATTAATCCCGACTTTTGATAGATATGGGCTGTCTCGAATTGTTAGCTGCTGTTAATTTTCTTGTATGTGCTTTGGGCACAGAAGTACACATTTCTGTTGAATATATTCCTAGGAGGGGAAATGCCATATAATGAGGTATATGTTTCTTCAACTGTGGTAGATTTGATCAAATTATTTTCTGAAGCGGATGTACTGTATAATGCTTGTACCATCAATGTCTGATGTTGCTGTATATCCTCACCAGGGATTGGTGTTGTCATTCTCTTTATCTATTTTGGTGGGCATATAGTGATATCTCATTGTAATTTTAATTTGCACCCTTTGACACCTAATAAAATTTAGCCACTTTACCTACATTTATTGGCCAGGGGTATTGCCTTTGTGAAATATCTGATCAACTCTGTTGCCCATTTCTCATTTGAGTTGTCTTTTTTCTTCTGGTGGTGTAGTAGTTGGTATATTCTGGATACGTGTTCTTTTGCAACATGTGCCTTGCAAACATCTCTTTCCAGTCTATGGTTTGCCTTTTTCACTTTCTTAATGATGTCTTTGGATGAATATAATCTCCTAATTTTAATGTGGTCTTCCTTAATGGTTAGTGTATTTTGTGTACTCTTAAAGATGGCTTTACTTATCCAAGAGCATAACAATATATTCTTATTTTTTGGAAATCTATTTTTACCATTTATTATTTTTATATCTACAAAGCACTTGAATTGATTTGTTTGTATGCTGAAAGGTAAGATCCTTTATATATTTTTCTTTATGTGTAACCAATTGGCTCAGCAACATTTAATGAGAAGAAAATTCTTCAGGGCAGTTTCACTTTTGTCATAAAGCAAGTGACTACATATTTGTGCAGATTTATCTTTAGGTTCTCCATGTGTACACTGTCTCCCTTCTCATACAAAATGCACTGTCTTAATTATTATATATTATATTAAGTCTTGATTTCTGGTAATGTATCTCTGTTGAATTTATTCTTCTTCAAGATGATCTTGGTTATTCTTATCCCTTTACATTTCCATATGGATTTTAAAATTATCTTGTGGATTTCCATATTTAAAAATATCTGCTAGAATTTTGATTAAATCTAGATATCATTT